CTTTTCTGTGTTTTCTCTGTGGGAGGCATTGTCTCTTTAATGAGCTACACATGCTTCAAACCTTACTGTTCATACCACGTTGGACCTAATGGCCTGCAAAATGCTCTCAAGACTATGTTTAGAGATGTATAAAGAGCTAATGTGTAAGGCAGAAAGACATAGTTGTTGAAAGAACCCACATCTCCCCCCGCTGCAAGTCAACCATAGCTGGGGGGTTGGAATTTTAGCAAACTGTGCGGCAGAGATATTAAGATATGAAACGTGCTGTTGGTAAATGTATTATTGATGGACTGAGAGTTATAATTTGGACATTTTGGAAAGATTATTGGTGTCTCAAATAATCCTAACTGATACTCCCCTTCAACCTTGCACAGACAATTCCCATACTGTTAATCTGCCAAAACTACCTGTCCAAAGTCATAATTAAATGGCAAAGTCAGTACCTTCCAGGACTATTCTTATGAGGTGTTGATAGACAGTTTTCAGTCTTCAGTTTTTGTTTCGAATGGACTGATGAGAGTGCTATCGATCTTCTCATCCCCATGTGTTTAACCCTTCTCGTAGTGTTTGTAGTTTGGCATTTTGACCACTCTCTTGCCTGTGTACTAAATATAAATCCAGCAGCCGATTAACTTAGCTTATCTTCGCAAAAGCCTCACAGTTACCTCAAGATTCCAGGGGCCCACCCAACACACAATCCCTCCTCAAAACCCTAGCCAAGGACTTTGAAATTGATGCACAAAAAGCATAAATTGGTGCATAAAAATGCCTCAAAATGCAGTTAAAGAACTAGACACCCCTGCGACCTCGCACTTGATTTGTGTCTCCTAGGTATGGGGCTGTTGGCAAGGTGTGCCTTATTTTTCCACATTGAAGGTAGCAACAATAATGGAGTCAGTTGTGTCAATTGTTGTTTGACTTGTAGAAACACGTCTCTCTCAGAGAATATCCCGCTTTTAGACAAATTCACATGCTCATGCACAGCCAGAGGTGATTAGCTGATAATTGACTGGTGTGAATGCTCTGTTCTCTGGCTGATGATAATGGTTTTTATAGATCATCTCTTCAGGCCATTTTGGGATCCATACTTTCCCTCCTTTATCTTCTGTTTGTCTTTAATTGGTGGTTATGTGTTCCTTTCCTACTTCTTTTCAAAGTAGAGGTATGGAGCGTTTTTTTACTTTGTCCTTGACTGAGCTCTTATGCATGCTGGACCCACATACTGAATATTCTTTCTATAGTCTGTATAGTATTGACTGGGGATGAAGTTGACATAGATTTTTTAAATAAATAGAACCAACAATGAACAATTAACCCATAGATTCGAAACAGAAACCTAGCAGGAAACATTTTGATAATTTAATTTAGGCAGTTTTATACCATCATATATTGAATATCTTTGGTTTTAAGACATCGCCTTTGGTTTTAAGAAACTTTAAGGGGCATCTTTAAATTACCATAATGTCATAATGATTATGGATTAATCTAAATTATAAATGTATGGTGTTTGTTAGGATATAGTTTAAGAAGTATTTTATTTTGTTATATACAAGAAATGAATCTACGGGACCATGTACTAACAGAAAATACAACTGCCTACTAAGATGTAGGTCTACACTATGAGTTGTCAAATGAGATGTAACTTAAAATGCTGCCAGCAATTTCAAATATATTAAGTCATCACACCACCTTCCACCACTTACCGTAATATATTGTACGGCTGCAACCAAACAATAATAATCTTTTCATTATTGATTAATCTGCAGATGATTTTCTCAGATAAAATAGAATAGTGGAAAATGCCCATCGACCAAGGTGATATGTTTATTTAGTCCTACAAAAAGTATTTATTCAGTTTATTATCACGTAATACAAAGATAAGCAGAAAATCCTCACAATTTAGGTGTTGTAACCAGCTAATTTTGGACATGTAGTTTTTGAAACATTACTTAAACAATTACTCCATTATCAAAGTAGTTGTTGATTAATTTCCTGTCAACTCACTAAGAAATTAATAGACTAATTGTTACATCTCCATTGTATGGAAATGAGACAGAGGGTAGGTCTTGGGCTTGGTGAAAGAGAATTAGAAGTCTCTTTCTAAGTCTAGATTTAGGGCAGAGGACATAGTATTAATGATAATAATCATCATCAAGTCTACTATCAGTTGCAGTATTAAGTTTTGTATTTTAATAACCCATGAATGAAAAATTTGATGGAAGTTTGAGAGATCCCTGGTTAGAGATCAGCAATCCTAACCTTAAATTATTTGCAGATGGAGTTCCAGGTTTATTTGTCATCCTAATGCTAAGTAGCCTACCATCAGCGTGCGTAAAAGCCAAAACAAATACTATCAATCCTGCTAACCTTTCACAGTGACTTGTAGGACTTGCTCATGCGTGTCTATCTGCTGAAAACTCTGCCCCCTGGGTCGCCGTGGGGTGTGGAGAACAACCAGTAGGTCGTCCTTACTGTTCAGTTGAGTGATGGGCTTCCAACAGGGACTCTGCGAGCCAAAGCAAAGAGACCTAAAGTGAATTTTAATCTCACATGCACTCAGTTACTAAACTGGCTGATCTGGTGCTGCCTGGGAGTGGAGGCTCAGCACAAGATGATTAATGACCATTAACTATTCATCAACTAGACTGTGTCTCTGTCTTGTGTTCCCCCTTTAGCTCACACAATATAATGTTACTTTTTCATGCTATTGTTTCACGTGCGGATGCATACCTTTTCTCTCTATCTCTCTGACACACGCACGCACAGAGGGAATGTGTGGAATGCCACAAACTGCAGTGCATTTGCTGCAGTGTTTTGCATTTCAGATTAATGATTGCTGTTGCTGTTTCCTCCTGAGAGGCTGTAATCCTGATTTGAAAGAGCCATATGTTTGTTCAGTCACTTTCACGGCAGACATCTTGTTTTATGATAGTTGTAACTTGTTGTTTTCTTCTCTCTCTCTAGAGATTTGCCTGTGAGAGGAAGATATGAAGTTTGCGGGCTCCCTTTGGATCCTTTGGTTTCTCCTGGTGGTAAGCTTTAATTTTTAAATTCAAGGAATGCTGTAAGGTAAACTAACTCCATTATTCTGTTTGCCCATTATGTATGCTGTACATGTGTGTTTAAACATAGAATTCTGTTTTCATTAAATTGACATGTAATATGCTGTGGTCTAGTGGTTTTCTTTTCTCAGCAAAAAAATCTCATAATTAAATTTCACTCACCATTTATACTTTATAATTATAATTTATAATTAGCTCAGTTTGTTCATTACAAACTTGAGAGATCTTAAAGCAAAGATAGTGATCTATGACTTGTTCACTATATCTGATCCTTACACTTATGCACATGGTGCACAATCTAGAATCTCTTCTTTTCACCTGTATATAAACTTGGCATGGATATAAACACTAAATTAACATTTAATACCTATAATACCTCATTGTGTATTTGTGGGTCTAACTTTGCATTATAGTAGACAAGGACCACGCTTCCTGGGACTGTCCTCCAAACTCTGTGCATCTGTAGAAGAACATTAGCAGTGTTTCTCTTGCATAATACGGCAACATAAAATAACCATAACTTCAACTCATCAAATTACGACAAATCATGCAAACCTGAAATTGTATGTGCATCAGTGCCCTTCTGTGTCTATGCTGTACCAGAACAGAATCACAAAATGCTCCACAATAGCGAACAACAGAACAGCATTGCAAGCTGCCCTCCAAGGTAGCCCTGCAACATACTTGACAAATTTATCTTCTAATTAACTTAGTTATGCATAAAAATAAAATAAAATTTTAGTTCTAAAATTCAAAAAATATCCAAACATTCACTTTACAGTAGTTCAAAGTAACTTAACGTCACATATAGTGAAGAAGATTTTTACCTTGCCAGGAAAAAGTCCAAAATGAAAAGAAGTTAAAGCGTGCAAAACATATAATTAAAAAAATAAAACAAGAACTAAACTTCCTCTCTTATTTAAAAAAAGTGTAGAAACTCTGCATTACAGCATATTTACTCCAATAAAAATATATTCAAAATACCTGTGCTGGAAATATTGGAAATTTAACAGGTGTACAAGAGTTCATCTGCACCCTTCAAAAGAAAAGTCTCTGCCTAATCCACATCAGATCTTACAGGTACTTATTATGACCCGTGCAGATATACACCCCTGCTATATATTTAAGCATAAAGCATATGTATGTCTGTATTTCCCAACTTTATAGTCAGACAGTTGAGGGTGTTGGAGTGGAGTATCTGATTTCAAATAAATTACATCAATTAGTTCAATGTTTTACATGATTATCTCATGTATGATGTAGGGATGACAAATTTGTGCACTGTGTTCAAATATACTGATTTGTCTGATGAGGGTGTTTTATCAGAAAATCAAACTCTGAAATATCCTTTTCAAGAACTTGCTGCTACAAATTACAGTACACCAGTTGCCTGAATGAGGGTTTTATAATAAATGGTATTTTCAACTCTATGGCTCTAAATTTTGTAGAGCGCCAAGACAATATTCCTCTTGTTAGCAACAAACTTGGGGGGGAAATGTTCACATTGGGATTTTTTAGAAGCTTTTACTGCAGAAAAATAGATGTCTTTCATGAGTCATCGCCTCTTATGAAAACAACAACAACATTCGGTCCACTTTTCCTCAGTGTCAGTGTAAAATGGAAGTTTACTGTTTCAATTTCCTTTGCTGTCCAATGTCAAGCTTGACATTGAGGTCCTGGATAGTATCCCTGCCAAATGTTTCATGCCTCATGTATCTATGTTACTCTGCTTTATGTTTTTAGAGTGTTCTTGTCATGTTGATTCAGGAAGATTAATGAATTGTAATGGGTGAAGAAAGCCCTTGAAAAAAGATTTTCTTTCTTGTTCATCTCATCAGTTGATATTGGTGGTGGCCTGGTGGTCGTATGTATGACGTCATTTACTTCAATGTTTGGAGTGACATCATATGTACGGCTGCTAAACTGCTACATGGGACATCAGCATTCTCACAGAAGACGATTTTTTTTCTTAAATGTCTTGCCTTTTGCAAGCTTTTATCAGACAGGTAAGAATGCTGTTTTATTTTTCCTAATGAGAATTCCTTCTGCCTGCACAAAGAAACAGAGGTAGGAGGTTTGCATCTGAATTGTGATATGGAGTGTGCAGACAATCTCCCAGACGAAGTATTAAAAGTCCTGAAATAATTCAGAAAATGCAAGTGCATGAGCCTGGCACTCCGACAGGCTTAATTTTCAGCCAAAAATTTGCGAGATAAGTCACAGCAAATGGGCTCTTTATCCTTCAGTGAGCAACATTATCAAAATCAGCATTTCACACAGGCAAGCTTTTTCATTTTAAACGCTACCTCCAAATACAAACACTAGAGCAGAGATAAGATTCATATGGAGAAAATCTACTGCTTAACTTCTTTTGTGAGCTCCCAAACACACTTTAATGAGTTACATGAATAGTCAGTGACTAGAATTTCAAAGCAGAGTGAAATCCTCATCAGATTAGCTTTGAAAATGTTTCAAAAACGTTCCATGCTTTTTCTCCCATTTAAATTTTTATTTTATGTAAGAGTGCGTGTCTTCATCTAAGCTTGATAAAACTGTGAAATATGATAAATTTAGCGAACATCATCATCATTATTTATGCTTTATCTTGTGTTTTTATTCAATGCAATGTAGAACAGATATTAATAACTCTCCGTCTACACTCCATATCGTGTTCCAAGTCCGTATAAAACATGTCGTCTTCCCCCTCACCTCTGGCGTCGTGTTTTCTCCACAGCACAGGACTGTGGCAGGCGCTGAGTCAATCTCAGACCCATCGCACAGGCCTGGAAAGAGCCTGACAGAGGGAGAGGCGATGAGCCAGGGTCAATACAGATGTCTTGAGCTGTCCAACAAAGACCATCAAGAAAACAGAACCGGTGAGAAGCCCAAATCATTTCAAGGCTTCTTAAAGGACCAGTGTGTAGGATTAGTGGCATCTAACGGTGTAGTTGCAGATTGCAACTCCCTCGCTTCATGCCCCCTTTTCTCCCAGCTTCAGTGTTCCTATCAAATATGAAAAAATGATTTAAAAAAGATGGCAACCTTCATGGAAGACGATCTGTGGTAGATAAAAACACCTCATTCTAAGGTTACAAAAAAATTGTGATTCTTATTTTAAGGTGATTATCAATAATGAAAAGATACCTATGCATATTATATTCCATTTCTGCCAATAGATCCTCTGTTACACACTGGACTTATAAGGCCAAATGAATTATCTCTGGAAGAGCATCACATTTATAATGATGTTGTGGAAGACAGTGGATTGGGGTCAGAACACTATTGTTCTTGTTCAAGAAAGTGGTTGTTTTGCCAGCACTGCAACTGGCCTGAAAGGGCTTTTGGAGTAGAGGCTGTGGGGATACAGTATAAACACTTTTAAGGCTGTAGAGAAATTATGTTATTCTGACTTACATTTACAACATAAAACTGAAGACACATAAACTGTGTGCTGGTAATAACCCAGAACAATCATTACACTTTTTTTCTTTTCCTTTTCTGGAGGTACGTTATGTGCACGTATTTGGGATGGCTTGCTATGCTGGGATGACACACCAGCTGGGACGTCTGTAACACAAAACTGTCCAGATCACCCTGACCTGGACGCAACTGGTAAGAATTGTGCAATTCTCACACCAATCCACAACAAAACGTTCACTGAATTGGAAGCGGTGGGAAATTGAGAGGGTTTTCTGCATAACTTTTTAATTCCAGGTCAGCAGGCAACACAGACAACGATCCAATCTTGTGTGTGATGGATGTAAAAGGTCATGGGGGTGATTGTATGAATGAGTTTCAGGAAGCTTGGAGGGTTTTATTAAATATTTCGATCAGATTTTATCAAATGATTACATGAGCCAGTCAGGGGAAAGTAGGTTCATTATTAGGCTGTGTTTTGAACTTGTTTCAACTCATTATACAAGAACTGCAGATATTCTGGTAGTAAAAGTACTATTTTAATATGTATGTAATGTAATAAATTCTTCACTCTGAAAAAGAAATAAATGATGGAGCATTTAGTGAGTTAAGGGAACTTATTTTTTTAATTTAACTTAATTCCATACAAACAATACAGTTTTGGCATCTTATCACTTTCCATCATTTACAAAATGCTTTGACATCTACCCAGTTTTAGTACCAATGCAGTGAAATACAGCATACATTTCTCTATCTTTACACACATACAACAATTAAGGAATAAATACATAAAAATTAATAGAAGAATTTAAAAAAAAGGTGATTTAAATGGATAAGAATTCCTTTATTACATCAATAGACTCATTGGAGGACTCCACCTCTTTATATATTTAAGTCTTTGCAGCCTTATTCTTACATGATTTGTTCTCATATTTTCTTTATCCAAATGTTGTATGTTGGAGCTTCAGGTTTCAACCATCTAATTGTGATACATTAAACATCAGCCCCAAGGAGTATTTGTAACAAATCCCCTCAGAGCCTTCAAAAATTGGAAAATAATACCACCATTGGACCTCTGGGGATGTCTTGGTGAAACACTTCTCTCAGGGCGTCTAAAACATCCTTTCAGAAAGTACTTAACACTGGACATGACCAAAAAATATGGCAAAAAATTAATTTTTCAAATATGCTTCACAATCTCTGGCTTATTTGTTAGTCACGTGGCTACCAGTTGATCAGTAGTGTCCAATGAAATCCATGCACAGATACAGCACGACCATTATAATTCTGCGAACCAACCACCTCCCTATATTTTTGGTACTGTTGATTCAACTAAGATTTAATGTCCACGTGTTTATTAGGGAGGGATTATTTCTCCAAGCAGAAATCTGCTCAGATTCTTTGGATTCTTTCTGCTCCCTCCAGAGTCTTCTCCAACAAATCTAACAGCAGTATATAACCAAATACTATAAATGGTCAATTCCTTGACGCAAGTGTCTCTGACGTAAATGCATAATGTAATTGCATTTTATGTAACATGTTCTAAGCAGATATGATTTATGGTGAGCAGTGAGCAGATATTTTCTTATTTAAAGGAAGATTTTGTGATCGATTACATAAAGTGGTAACCTGCCAAATTCTCTGCTGTAGAAAAATTAATCAGACAACCTGGCCGGGATCTTTTCTTTAGATTTTATGTTCCTATCTGTGGGTACTTTTTGTTGCTTGTTGGCCTTTTTACATGTTATTTATTTTTATCAGTCACAGATCTAATGGCAAAAACAATCAGTTGGTCAGTCTACTACTTTGGTCCTGACTGAACAACTATTGGATGACTGTCATGAAATTTGGTACATGTATTTATGGTGCCCAGAGGTTGAATCCCACATACCCAGTTTTGCACAGATATTAATGGTTCCCTGAGGATGTAGCCTAATGACTTTGATCCCTGGACTCTTCCTTTAAGGATGATGACATTTTTGTCTTCGAGGGAAATGTCTCAAAACCTATTGGACTGATTGCCATGAAATGAGACATTTATTTCCTCCTCAGGATAGATTGTAATTACTTTGGCAAACCCTTGACTTTTCATATACAGCCATCATCAAATACCTGCAAAACCCAAGACATTTTCTGTACTTTGTGCTTAATATAATAAACATCCCTACAACATCAGCATTTTAGCAAGCAAACATTAGCATTTAGCCTAAAGCACTGTTCTGCTTATAAGTATAGCCTTGTAGAACAGCTAGCATGTCTGTAGCCTGCTATAGTCTTCTTAACAAACAAATTCTTGTTGCCTTTTAATCGAGAACGATTTTCACAACAGTGAGTGTCAAGGACAACTAAGCTAGTGTAAGAGATTTACAAAGTAAATCATTTGTCTTTTGTGTTTTATCAGTCAGACTGAATGAAAACAGACATTTATTTATATTGAAATTGACTGTGGAAATTGATAATGTAAGTACACTTAATGTTTGGATTGAAGTACAAATAGTCACTACGATATGAGCAGTTTTTACATTGTGAGGAATGCACGGCTTAATAATGTCTACTTGAAGAGATCCAGAGTCAAGTCGTGTCTGATTTAGGAGACGTAATATGATGGAGAGAGGGGAGGTGATGGAGAGGGCAGAGGAAAGAATGAAGGGTATATAGAGAGAAAAAGAGAAGAGGGATTACAAAAAAAAAACAGAGAAGTCTAAGTCAGAGAGATGGATGGGGAGAGAGAATATGAATGAGAAGAGAGAGAAGGTGTTTTAGTAAGAGAAGGCTCATAAAGGATCTTCCCAAAATGCCTGTGACGTTAAGAGTCCCCTCATGGCTCCTTATTTGAAAGCTGATGCTGCTGATATGAAGCTTTGGGGGAGACATACAGTTGGAATTGGTTGTTGAACAGTTGATGAGTTGTCAGTGAAGACTAGGCAGTCGGGCTATGGCTGTTGTTGTCAGGAACAATATATGATCTCATTCTTAGCCCAGTCATGGCTCTACAGTACATGTGGTTTTAAGCCCGACATTTGAGAATTTGCCAGATAATGACTCCAAAGAGGGAATTTTCTATTTGACATAACGTTTGATGATGCGTGCCAAGTTAAATTAATCACAGTTGTGCGGTAATGCCAAGATTCAAGGTCCGATTTATGTGTTTGGATGATGCCAACATACTACTGCTGAAAAACAGACAGAGCCATATAGAGATTATCTACTGGGCATGGAAGGTTGAACAGAAGCAATAATGTGCCTATAAGTAATTGGATATGGTTTATAAAGCTTTCAGAGTAATCACTGATGTTTTTTTTTTTCCTTTACAGAAAAAGTGACCAAACATTGTGATGAATTGGGTAACTGGGTCCACACTGGGCCCCCTTGTCAGCCAGCTTCAAAGAACAAATTAGAGGTATTTGGCTCTTTCCCTTAAGTAATGGAAAATTGAGATGAAGCTAGCTTCTCTGTCTCTATACAATAATTTGTATGTTGAACTGTCTTTGTTTTTTTCTCAGAAGGAAGTCCCACATTTCTTAAGAGATGCTGCGGAAGAGCCCACCACAGAAGCCACAGGAGTAAACACAGAAAAAGGTGGTGTTATGGATATCATCCTCAATAACGAAAAGAAATGCTCAGAGAAAATGTTGAAAGATCCATCTTATAATAAATCAGGTACTGATACTGTGTTTTCTACATAATGACTTTTCATGTTTGACATATGTATGAACAAGAGACCTCTAAAGAAATTTTTCGTCCTTGTTGCTGTTACAGGTCTGTACTGCAGTCGTAACTGGGATGGATGGCTGTGCTGGGACGATACTCCTGCAGGAACCAATGCCTCACAAAACTGCCCTGATTATTTCAGCGATTTTGACCCCACAGGTGAGCAGTGAGACCCTGCTGATACTGAATTAACCTTTATTCCTCTAATGACTATATTTAAAGACATTGGACATAATTGTTTTTTTCAGAAAAGGCAACTAAGTACTGTGGAGAAGATGGTCAGTGGTTTCATCATCCAGAGGCCAACAAGATTTGGACCAATTACACACTCTGTGCAACCACCCATGAGAAGAGGCTGAGGGTAATGTTTAGTATTATTGATGTAATGAACTATCTTTCATGGATTTATTGTACAGGTTTGCTACTAATACTGCTGGGTCTCCTTGCAAGTTCAGGACATGTAGCCTCATTCACAATTATACAATGAATCATGACATGAATTTAGTTTCCGCTACTCAGACCTCAAACCATATACCATATTGAAGTGGCTGGAGGTTCAGGGGAAAACCATCACAGAGACAAGTGGTCCTTACAGCTTAGCCCCACAGACCAGACTCAGCTAAGTTGAAGCTGGTGGGAAACTGGTGAGGGATCACCATGTACTCATTATATCACCAGCACCTCTTTCTGTTTGATCAATCCTCCAACTTAAACAACAAAATATATTGTTTGTTATTTACTTCCAAAACAACCCCCTATTCATTATTTCATCAGTGAACTGACTATTTAACCTATTTAACCTAGCAACCCAAACGTTGTTTTCATTCATGGCTTACAACTGGAAAAGATATTATTTCATGCTAAAAAGTTAGCATGTTGGGAAAAGTTGATGTGTGGAACAACATAAAGATCTTGTCAGCACAAAATATGGACCTTGGAAAATCTGAAGCAGTTGTTTGATTGGATGTGGGCTTGGAAATACATAACTACTGATATATCACCTGTGGTTGGTTTTTGGTTTGAGCAGAAACAACTTCATCAATCTTCAGTGTTAGACTCTGAGGATCTATTGTAGTTAAACTTCCCCAAACAATTGTGGGTTCGACCAAGCGCTCTGGCTACTAGAGATTGTTGTTAATTAATGTTGAATAAGGTCAGGAGTTGAGCCACACTTTTTTTGTTTACTTCTCAGTTTTTCTGTATAATCTTTTTTGTAACGTTGAAACATCTATTTTGTTCACAGAAACTGAAAATGCTTGAGAATGAATACAAATGCCTCCTGAAAATAAATCGAGATCCACCTTTCAACACATCAGGTAGTGATACTGTCTATTGAAGATCACTGTGTAACTCTGGTTACACCATCATCAAATACCTTCACTGGATATCAGTGTGATTGCTTTGTCATTTGAAGTGTCATGTTTGACAGGCATATGAACAGGAGGCCTGTAAACATTCGTATTTTTGTGGCTTTGTCGGTATTGCAGGTCTTTACTGCAGTCGTAACTGGGATGGCTGGCTGTGCTGGAACGACACTCAAGCAGGAACCTACGCCTCCCAAAACTGCCCTGATTACTTTTCTGACTTTGACCCAGCAGGTGAACAGTGAGAATCAAGAGTTCTACTCTAATGGATTGTGATATCTTATTAACCTCCTCTGATCTTCTACTGACTATATTTTAAGAGGTTGGACCATGAAATAGTAATTGCTTTAAAGGTCTAGTGTGTAACATTTCGGAGGATCTGTTAGCAAAAATTGAATATAATATTCATAGATATGTTTTCACCAGAGTGTAATCCCCTGAATATAGGGATCTTTGTGATTCTGTTACGTTAGAACAAGCTGTTTTTATCTACAGAGGCGTTTCTATTCCATGGAGTCCACCATGTTGAACCGCCGTGTTTCTGCAGTTGCCCAAAATGGCTCTAGATAGGGCCAGTTGCATTTTTTGCAAGTTTCGCCACTGCTCACCATTATTGGCACCCCTTCATTTTTTGCATAACCTCTACAATATCTTCAGAAATAAATAGAAATGTACCAAATTTATATCATCAGGATCTTTTAATTGGAGGTCCAAAGTAATTTAACAAAGAAAGTTGTTTTTTCAACTTTTCAACATATTGTAATTTCAAGGAAGAAACAGAAAAAACAGCATGTGCAGCAATAATGGCACCCCTCTTTAATATTTGGTTGCACACCTGTTGGCAGTGATGACAGCCTCCAAACGTGTAGCCAGTTTCTTTATAAGCTTTATAAGCTTCTTGCACTTCTCAGCTGGTATTTTCTCCCACTCTTTCTTTGCAAATTGTTCAAGCTCTTGAACGTTTGCAGGTTTCTTTTCCCCAATGGCAGATTTCAGCTCATACCAAAGATTTTCAATTGGATTGAGATCAGGACTCATTGCTGGCCATTTTAAAACAGTCCATTTTTTCCTTTTCAACCATTCCTGCGTGCTTTCTGGATGTGTGCTTTGGGTCTTTGTCTTGCTGGAGGGCCCATGATCTTCGACTCAAACCAAGTTTTCTTACACTGGGTAGGACATTTCGCTCTTAAATCTCTTGATAATTCTCTGATTTCATTATCCCTGTTATAAGGTCAAGGCCTCCAGTACCAGATGCAGCAAAGCAGCCCCACAGCATTATGGATCCTCCACCATGCTTTATTGTTGGTAGGGTGTTCTTTTCCTTGTAGGCTTTACTGCACCGTCTGTAAACAAACTGTTGGTGTGCATTGCCAAAAAGCTCTATTTTTGTTTCATCTGTCTACAGAACATTTTCCCAAAAGGATTGTGGTTTGTCCAGGTACTCTTTGGCAAAGATTAGTCGTTCCTTTTTTTGTCTTTTCCTCAGCAATGGTGTCTTCCTTGGCCTTCGACCATGAAGTCCTGTTTGGTTTAGTGTGTGGCGTATGGTACTTGTTGAAACCATGACCCCAGACTGTTACAGGTTGGCCTTCAGGTCTTTGGATGTTTGACATGGTGTTTTGTCCACCATTCGCACCAACCTTCGAAGATTTCTCTCATCAATTTTTCTCTTCCCCCCACGTCCAGGGAGGTTCTTGACAGTTCCATGCTTGGCAAACTTCTTAAAAACATTACACACTGTTGAAACAAGCATACCAAGGTCTTTGGAGATGGCCTTATACCCTTTGGAGATCTTGTGTTTGCTAAGTATCGCACTTCTGATGTCTTCAGACAGCTCCTTTGTCTTCACCATTGTGACAAAGGAACAGGGGCTAACAGATGGCTATTTAAAACACGGAAGTCATCATTCAGTGGCTAATTCATGTCACATGGGCACAGACAATTTATCACAGGTGATTCTCATTTGTTATTTATCACAGGTGAGTCACAATGTGTTTCCATACTGATTTACAGCAAAGGGTGCCAATACCAGTGACACAGCAAGCTTTAAGTTTTTCTATTTTTTCCTCCCATTGTTTATTGTTTTAAATTGTTGTTTATCATTTGCTCTTTTGTATCAAACACGAGTTCTCTATAGAACAGAAATGTTTCACTTGATTCATTTTTTTCAGAAGATATTCCACATTATGTACTTAAACTTCATGGGTGCCAATAATGGTGAGCAGGACTGTGGTTTCTCCTACCCGCCAAGAAGTCAGAGCTATATCCAAATGGTTGCAATCTACAACTTTGCCGCTAGATGCCACTGAATCCTACACACTGGTCCTTATGGAGGATAGACTTTATAGACACATTTGCAGTTTTATTAAAGAGTGGAAATTGTTTGGAGAATGTGTTACACACTGTATATTTAGCACATAATTGTTGTTTTCAGAAAAGGTAACTAAATATTGTGGAGAAGATGGGCTGTGGTTTCGCCATCCAGAGAGTAACAAGATCTGGACCAACTACACACTCTGTGCTGTCAATACTAAGGAGAAATGGAAGGTAATGTTTATGTAACAACTATTCATCAGAAAGATCATAGGTCCGGTATGTTTTGGTCATTGGATTTTTTTCAGAAACGGGTATTAAAAACAGAAACGAGTGGTTATTTGATTTTCCTTTTAAAATACAAAAATTAAAATTGAATACAGGCGTTTTTTTTTCTGGTCAAAAGGGATGAGCGAAATTAAAAATTATTCGATTTTCATTTTCTATTTCATATAACAAAAATAAAATCACTAGAAACAGAACGGAAAGGCCTGTTGTTTCTATTCTGAAACCGGATGTTGTCATTTACAGGACGTTGCTGTGTAGAAGAAACAGTAGGTTAGTAGACTGGGTCAATCCAGCCGTGAGTCCGATCTCCGTGGTCAAATCAGCCGCACTTAAATTTGAGTGTACAAGTATTCTCGCATTATGGTAAATGCGGAGAAACAGCGTATTTACTTTTCAAAATAAAGGTATTTAGAGCCGTAAGCTATAATTAAAATATGTTACATTTAAGTCTTGTGCCCTGATGAATAAAAAACACTTTATATCAAGTATCTTTACTGCACCAGTGTGGAGAAATGCCAAAATAAAAGCCTCATATTTATGCCTCCAGAGACTGCATATTTGACCATATTTGAGGTACTGTAAAACATATTGCTCAGTGTTTCCTGGCTACCGATGGTATATTTGACTTTTACACATATGAGACTACAAACATACTTAATATCAAGCATTTTTACTATACAACTTTGGAGAAATTCAACAATAAAAGTCCCATATTTGTACCTCCATGTGGCATAATTTCATATATTTGAGCTACTGTAAAAACACTCTGCTCAATAATTCCTGGCTATGGATGGTATATTTGACTTCTACACATCTAAGACCACAAGTATACTTAATATCAAGCATTTTTACTGTACCAATTTGGAGAAATTGAAGAATAAAAGTCCCATATTTATACTTCCAGATTCCATATTTTCTTATATTTTTGAGCTACTGTAAAAACATATTGCTCAATATTTCCTGGCTATGGGTGAAGCATTTTCATTATACTTCAATAATGCTGCAGTAATCATGACAAAATTTCACACAAATGTTTAATAACATCTTGATAATATAAACACTAAACACTAAACACTAAATCCTACACAATTTCATTTGTTTACTTTTCACACAATGCAATGCCAGTCCACATTCTTCTTATTTTGCAGCTCTGCTGTGTCCATTTGTAGGTAAAAGGGAAAATAATTAGTTTTAACTTCAAAACACCATGTACCTACTGTCTCTCCTCACATATTATTTTTTATATTATTCTGTGACAGCTGTTGCAGGTGGTTCCACTACAGTTTACATTTTTACAGCAGCTCAAATATAAGAAAATATGGAATCTGGAAGTATAAATATGGGACTTTATTCTTCAATTTCTCCAAATTGGTACAGTAAAAATGCTTGATATTAAGTATGTTTGTGTCTCATATGTGTAAAGTCAAATATACCATCAGTAGCCAGGAAACACTGAGCAATGTGTTTTTACAGTCCTCAAATATATGAAAATATGCAATCTCTGGAGGCTATATGAGGCTTTATTTTGGCATTTCTCCACACTGGTGCAGTAAGATACTTGATATGGTTTTTTTATTCATCAGGGGCGCATGAAACACTTTAATGTAACATATTTTAATTATAGCTTACGGCTCTAAATACCTTTATTTTGAAAACCGGAAGTAAATACGCTGTTTCTCCGCATTTACCATAATGCTGAGAATACTTGTACACTCTAAATTTAAGTGCGGCTGATTTGACCACGGAAATCGGACTCACGGCTGGATTGACGCAGTTACTAGCCTACTGTTTCTTCTACACAGACGTCCTGTTAATGACAACATCCGGTTTCAGAATATGAAACAACAGGCCTTTTCTGTTTCTGTTTTCTAGTGATTTTATTTTTGTTATATGAAATAGAAAATGAAATCAAATTTGTTTTTAATTTCGCTCATCCCTTTTGACCACGAAAAGAAACGCCTTGTATTTCAATTTTAATTTTTGTATTTTAAAACGAAATCAAATAACCACTTTCTGTTCTTATATCCGTTTCGAAAGGAAATCCAATGCCAAACATCCGGACCATCATAATAGATGTTCTTGTCTAATCTTACCAGCACTGCAGGTTTTTCAAGGATGTCCTCTGGGGATTTGGGTTTATCCCTGACTTTTTAAAATCCATGCAGACACTCAGGGACACTACATTATATACATTATCAACCAAATATATACAGGCAGTGCCTGAATTGGACAAAAAAAAATGTGCCAGTACCCAAATCCAGCACAACCCTACCCATTACGTACCCCTAACCCTCATTATTTACTCCCTACACTACTCTGCCTCTGATTAGCTCTGATCCAGATATTTCTTCCTAATCTTAAGCATCTCTCTCCTTAATCCTGACCAACCAACCCAATGAATGCAACAAACACTAGCCAATCAGAGGCACAGTAGGGGAGGTCTTGACAGAATTCCAGTGGGGTAAAAATAAAAATTCTTATTATTTTCCGTGTTACCCGGAAGTTTAGGAGATCGTAGCTAGACTCACTAGGAAGTGGCAGTATGCAATAATAAATAAGGGTACTCACGTGGACAAAAATCAGCAGTGTTTTTAGCAGGCACTGGATACTGGACAAACACATTTTTACTCTCAAAAGTAAAATTTCTCTGTGTCATGCTTTCTTTGACCTCCCTGCTCATTGTTTAGTTTGGCTGATCATGTCTCTCCGTGTGTATGTGTGTGATGTTGACTTCACTAAAATGAAGGCAGCTGCCCAGCTCTCAGGGGACACTGAGTTAGAGCCCACCAACGAGGCCACGGTCAGTCCCATGGTCATCCCAGAAGAGCAGGAAATTGTGAGGAAGAAAATCCTCGACAGCCAGTACAAGTGCTTTGAGAAAATGAATCGAGATCTACCTTACAACAAATCAGGTAGAGGCAATATCTACTGAGACTCATTGTGGCTTTCTGTGATTGTACTTCTTCCTTTGAGGATGATTTTGTCTTTGTTGGTGTCATAGGGCTGTACTGCAGTCGTAACTGGGATGGCTGGCTGTGCTGGGAGGACACTCCAGCTGGAACGTACACCTCTCAAAACTGCCCTAATTATTTTGTCGACTTTGACCCGACAGGTAAGCAGAGAGGGTCAGGTCACTGTTTTTACAGTCAACAGAGCATAAAATATGAATTGCTTTGCTTTGAGGATGAATTATTCATCATGCAGAACCTAAATATATGGATACAACTGTATGGATTTGAAGAAACTGTTAGATAATCTGTATTTATTACTTAATTGTTATTTTTAGAAAAGGCCACAAAGTATTGTGGGGAGGACGGGAAGTGGTTTCGACACCCGGATACCAACAGGACTTGGTCCAACTACACACTCTGCAATGAAAGCACTGAGGCAAAGTTGAAGGTAATTAATTTAAAATATAGTAGCCTGCTATCGTAGACCTACTGCATGGTGGCCACAGTGTGATGAGTCAGCATAATCATTTCCTTTTTTTTTGCATGGAGTCTGGTATTTGGAGTGTGGGCAGATAGGAGAAAATGTGGAAACTGGAAATATGTAGTTCTGATGCAGTTGCTCATAAATATTGTACCAGACACCATTATTAACAGGCATTTTATTTCCAAGACACATTACTCTCCTAAACTGAGTTCCACAGAAATATTTAGAGATGAAAAGTTATATGCACAGGGTGAGATCACACCTGAATCAGGTAAAAGTCCAAAGGCAAAGCTGATTTTTAATGCCACAGTACACACTAGCTTGATGCATATTTTTATTTTTTTAAGCATTTTTTGGGGCTTTTATTGCCTTTATGATAGTGACAGCTGAAGACAGACAGGAAAGGGGGGCAGAGAGGGGGGATGACACGCAGCAAAAGGCCGCAGGTCAGATTCGAACCCTGGGCCGCTACAGCAAGGACTCAGCCTCGGTACATGGGTCGCCAGCTCTACACACTGAGCTAACCAGGCGCCTGTTTGATGCATATTTTTAAGATAGAGTTGTGTTCGTATCTCACAGGTGGCAAGGTTATGTAAATCAGGTCTTATTTACTGTTCAAACTGACGTTTTGCATTTGTTGGAACTGAACCATCAAACTGTTTCAAGCCCTCTTTCTCTTTATATATACAGCTGTTATAAAACACAGGCCTGGACAGAGGAGTCTCCCTACAAAGAGCTTAATGTTGACAACATCACTTATAACAACCCTCTTATCACTGACAACACCAGGCTGCTGTTCAAAGCCACTAACAACATTTCCCACATGCAAACCAGAAGAGGACACCACAGAGCTCAATTCAGTATTTTATCAGAGTTTCAACAATTTTGCCTTTACTCTTACAAGACTTAGACAATTCATTTATACACTTGATCACAAATAAGTTGTACGATTTAATCGGTATCATCCAGCTACAGTGTAACTCATGGTATGTGCCTACAGAAATCGGTCTTGCAAGCTTTTCCATTTTAAATGTAGATGATTAGTCACCCTCTATCTTACTGAGAAAAATCCACTTATTTCTTCCAATGAATAGGAAATTAAAAAACTACTCTACTCTGCTCTCCCATCTTGAACAGAGAAAATGGTCAATTGCTAACAAAGGGCAACTTGTAAACAAAGCTTCTGCAAGAAACTCCATCTTGCTACCTCCACTCAGTGCACTACGCAGTTGGAACAGCTGTCTTGGCAAACCTGGGAGAAAAACTCAAAGTCTGCTGATCGATCAGAACCAGAAATCAGCAGCTCCATCTGTTACCACAGAAACCTGATCTTTGCTGACTCTGCTTCCCAGCTTTAGGAAACTTCACAAAACAAACAGCCTCAGCAGTGTGACCCAAAAGAGAAATAAGGCTAAATAAACTTCCAATGATTTTCTGATAAGACTGAGTTGATGCCAACTTTAGCTTTTAATTCTTTCTTTCAAGAACAAGGACCACCCCATCAACTGAGGTGTGAAAACTTGGCAAAAAAGGGTAACAGTGATCAGATTTCAACTTTTCCTCTTTTTATTGAACCAAACTCTTAATTTAAATGTTATTTATAAAACTTATTTGAAGATGAAAACAAACCCCATACTGTCTAATATAATGTTGCATTCTGATGAACTATTTACTGCAGTTTAACTTTGGCCTGCTGTACTAATCAAAACTGTGTGAAAAAGACAATTCCACAATTCAGTGGAAGGTGATATTGGACATTTAGTTTGCATTTTGACTTCAAAATAAGTGGTTAAAATAATATGGTTAAACTGGAACTGGGGAATCTTTAAGCACTTGTCTGTGTGGGTGCTGTGTCACCTCTGTTGTAAAACCTTGTCACCAGGCAGCCATATTTCAAGAATTTAGCTGTTGAATACATAAGAAAGATGCTTAACTAGATATGTAAGACTCTGTTTGCACAACATTTTATTTTAATTATTAATTAATTCATTAATTATTGTCACCTAATTTTGTATACAGAATGCATTTGTGCCATACTGTAAAATGCATCATGCACTTTTATGATAATTGGCAAGCAATTCTGGGCCTTGATTGGGGCACAGAATATTTTTTCACAAAATACAATGTGTCTTCTGTATATCTTCACTTGAGCTCTAATTCAGATTTTTCTAAGTAGAAGTGCTACATGTTATTTGATATTACTCCCGTTTGTATTTTTTTTTACAGTCAGTGTTCATCCTCTTCTACATGGCAATTGTGGGTCATGCTTTATCCATAGCCTCCTTGCTCATCTCTCTGGCCATCTTCTTCTACTTCAGGTAATGGACTGATTTTCTTGCCTTCCATATTAGATTTTAACCACATGAGAATTTAGCTGTGGTTGCAGTTAGTAGTTTGATAATGCACATGTCAGTGAATGGTTAACATGGTGCAAATGCAGTTTGTCATGGGATGATTAATCGGTAGTAGCTTTGCCCTTAAAGGCTCAATCATCTCATCACTATTATCAGTGAATCTGACAGGCACACAGATGTTGTTCACGACCGTCTCCTCCAGCAATTTCAGTACTCATCATGGGCAGTACTTTGGTCTCAGTCTTATTTGCAAAATCTTCACTCAGTCTCTGTCCACACCAGCAGAGTAAATGTAACAATTTTAAACACTTTCCCCAGAGGCACACACAAAAACTTTCAGTGTTAATGAGTGTTGATGCTTCAGTCACATTTTATAATGTAATCAAAACTGTTGATTGTTTATTCTCTCGTAGAGCTGCTCTGGGGGGCAGGTAACATCATCTAAAATGGTTAAAAAAAGAACTCAAACATTAGCACAGTGTTTAATTAACACTGAAGAGAGTAATCAGATAAATTATTATTGTCTTCACTGTGTCATAAACTATCAACCTGGAAATAGTTTGCTGCTTTACTGAGTGTAATTTATACACAGTTTAACTGTCGCTAATTTCATGCCAACTGGGTTTCCTTGTGCTCCACATTTATTTCATGGATATTTAGGATTCAAAACTGAAGAGCTGTGACGTCCATTGAATGCTTTACTCTTATTAGAAAAATGTGCACCTGAGTGCATTGCTCATTATGGTTATTCATCCCAATGCACTGCTTAATCCCAGAGGGGAAAAGTGCACAATTGAGAAACTGCTGTTGAAATCCAATTAGATAAGAGTTCAAAATAACAAAAATGGATAAGGGGAAGGGAGGTACAATATTCGGTTAATATATGTGAAATTGGGAAATGATTAAGCCTGAGAAAAAGTTAGCAGACTGTGCAGAAGTCTGCGCTTTGTTGAAACTTTATAGTTTATCTCTAGGAAGGAAGGACTTAATCAACATTGTTTTTAATGGTATAATAAGTTTTATAGTTTCACTCAGGCAGATATCTGTGAAGAAACGTGAATATGGAGCCGAATAGGGGGGGAAATTTTATGTTCTGTAACAATATTTGAAAAAGTTGCTTTGTTGGCCCTGTTATTCTTGAGTTCTGCAGTTGTAAAATTTGATGTGTTGTTGACCTCCTAAATGCAGCTGTTATCCAAAACAGATCTTGTAAGAGGCCTCTCAGTTTGCTGTAAAGTTTTATACACACTCATAAATCTAGCTGCCGTGTTTAGGGCAGGTGCATTATCACAGAAACCCCATGACCCGCTGAGAGTCAAACTCTTAAGTCGGATATACAGAAAGTCAGCGGGACATTCACAATTCATTAAGATCAAAATCCTAACAAATTAAGACCTCAATAAAGCCACAACGTTATTGGCCTAGGAAATCTTTTGTTGCTTTATTCTTTTTAACCATGACTTGCCATATTTATAGCCAAAACACTTAAAATATTGGAGGCTTAATGCTGTATTATAGGATCCAGATGTGAAGCTTACAGTGGTATGTGATGGTGTACAGCTGCACTACTCTGTTATTTACAACTCTACATCAACACTGTCAGGGTTCCCAGATAAAAATACTCCAGCTTGCCATGGAAAAACAGAGGTGGTTGAGCGGCCGACCTGTAGACGTTAGGACGTATGACAGTCCGAACAACGTTGCCATAAGGATTCAGCTTGTGTTTTGACATGGCCTTTTAGATAAAACCCCCTTGTATATAAGCATTCAGCGGCTCCTGCATTTCCTTTTATGTCTGGAGACTAAAGTGAGATTGTTTTTTTTCTGTTGGAGATAACCATGCCTCAAAATAAGACTGTGAAAACATGCTGTTGTATATGCTGTTTTGTTCTGGCTTAAAGAAAGTTGGTGCTCTTCCTGTTTTTCATGGGCCTCTGGGGATTTTATCACCCAACAAAGATAAAATTGGCCATGAGCAGTAGAGAACATATTTATAGGAAGCTATATTCTGCAAAATATATTTGGTGCAAGGTTTCATTCAGCTTTAAACACTCTTTGATTGCTGCCCTTAAATTAAAACATTATTAAACCATTACCAACCATAAAGCTACTGGATTTGAATGATTTTGATTCCAATAGTTATTTTCACTTTGCCTGTCAAGCATTTCATTATGCTATTAATTCTGCGTGGCCAGCCAAGGTAATGAGGAAGCACCCTTGGGATCCATTATGCATTATTTAACAGCGTTTCTAACATGTACAGAGCATTCAGGATTTTTATTTTTTTACCAACCAGAAAAAAATTATCTGAGATATAAGGTCCCAATTATTTTATATTTTACTTCAACAACCTGTTGGAACATCTGACATCCTCATCAAACTATTAACCTGCCAGTCATGAGTTACCTTTTTGTTCTGTTTACTTCATCACTTGTAGCAAGTTTATGTCTTTCTTCTTTTTTTTTCTGTGTCAGAAGAGATTTAATTTCTAATTTGTCAAAGGTATTTTTTTTTATGTGTCCTAGTATGTCAGCATTGTCTCTCTTCACACAGGAGTCTGAGCTGCCAAAGGATCACCCTGCACAAGAACCTCTTTTGCTCCTATGTGCTCAATTCAGCCCTCACCCTCATCTCTCTCCTAGCAGTGGTCAATAATCCTCAAGTGGTGGGCAGAAACCCGGTGAGCATGGCCTCTGTTGAATAATTACTGCCAGGACACAAAACATCAAGTACAACTGAGACTGATCATGGGCATGTCATTAGTTTTGCAGTTATTTGATCATGAACCATCTTAGCATGCTAACATTTGCTAATTAGCACAAAACACAAGGTATAGCTGATGAGAATGTCATTAGTTTTGCAGGTATTTGACCAAACCAAACCAAAGTATTGAACACATTAAAAGTTATGTAAAAGATTTTATTGTCCAAAATTTGGACAAAGTGGTGGACCAACAGGCCGACTGGCTTTGCCATCCCTAGAGCCAGAGCCAAAAGCTAGCAGTGCCACTTTAGTAGAATACAGTGTGAGGAGGAGGATTAGTTTCACTGTCTTCAAATGAGATACAAATGTATTCATAATTTATGCTAAGCCAAATAAAAATGCAAGGAAGAAAAAATTTCAATGAACTATTTAAAATTAATTTGCTCTGCAAGGCAATGCAAGAGAGTGAAATTTAAACAGCTGCTCCATATTTTAAATATTGAAATGTTTATGTAACAGACTTTTAACTGTATCTTAATTAGTATTTCATCTTATTGTGCCATATCTTGGCAGTGTCACACGGTCAACAGTTTTTGCTCTCTTCCACATTCTCCTGTCAGAGTTTTGGAGCTACACTGAATACGTTATGTGAATTCTTTGAAACCCTGAGGTCTGCTTTGGTAGAGATTATAAATCTGTCTCGTAGGAATGCCTCACTATCAGCCCTAAACATAAATTTGTGTGTTACTTTTCAAGAACCACTCCTTCATGGAAATAAAAAAATAATGAAAGCCTGTTAACTCAGCGTTTGCTGCCTCTTAAAACTCCCAAAATTGATCATGTCTTTCCTTTTATGTAAAACTGAATAAAATTAAACAGATTCAGGATCTAGAAGTCCATGATGATGAAAAAAGAACAGTCAGAATATTGCCTACTGATTAAAAACTTTCAAAATAAAAAAACAACTTTATCTCCCCAATATGTTAATGTGCAAAACCTAAACACTGAAAACTTCAGATAATCAAAGTACAAAACCAGCAGATAGGATTGTAGAAGTTGGCTCATAGTGCATACAATCCCATTAGAGCCAGCCTGCTTTCAGCTGGAGCATCTTTGGCCAGACAAAGCACTAGAAACATCCAGGAGACAGCAGAGGCTTCAGCTGGGTTTGGGTTGGATTCTGTGTCCTGCTGCTGCTCCTTTTCACACATTCACAAAATCAGTCAGGCTCATCCTGATTGCCGTCTTTGTTCCCATCCCATCTCTGAACGTATCCAAAAAGAAGCCAGGAATGACAGCCATCATCATCAATGTGAGGAAATATATATGTATTTGTGCAAAGGCTTGCTTTCAAGCCTCTCCTCCTCGCCAAGTTTGTGTTGAATCTGTTACTTTCTGACGTGTGCTAACATGTCAAAACAAAATTGGTCACCGTAGCCCAGCTTTTCAAGAGGAAGCAGAAAAAAAAAATCACAAGCACCATTGGTTGGGATTCATGCGTGTCTGTTGGGAAGCATTTTGAAATTTACCACTGCCAAAGTGGGACTTATGAGCCTGTTTTGTGCACTGGTGATTTAGGAATGGTGGCTTGTGGTAGAGATTTGTCTCACAGAGAAAACAAGCTCTTTTTATTCTCTCTGGTGTGGTGATACAGAGGCTGGTTTGGCCTGCCAGCAGTGTGGGGGAGTGAATCCCCAAAGCTTATGTCAAACCAGGGAGGAGGCTGAAAACATGAGAACCATCTACATGATCTATAGCAGCTTGATTTGTAAACCAGAACATTGTTGGTAACTTAACACAAACCTCACTTAGCTGCAATGAAAAACCGTGAGTGACCTTACCCTCTGCATACTGACACAAGTCCACGTCTGTTATAGTGGAGATTCCTCAAGTGGAAAGGGAAACGATGGAAAGTGAGGCAGAGACATATGGATAAAAGTTTAGAGGTGAATGACTGTTGGTGTTTTGAGCAAAGAAGACCCCTGAGAGCAGCAGTTAATAGCAATGCCAACATCTTTGAATAATTCTGTGGCTGCATGCATGCTCTTTTAACACAGTACTGCGACCCAGAAACCCTGATCTGAATATTTCAAAAATATATTCAAATCCATTCGTGTTCTCCATATAAAGTATGTGGTTCAGGGAAAACAGTGAACCAGTACTTGTTTTTATTAGAATATGAAGGTAGTTAGTTAGTAGGTTAAGGTATTTATTCAAGTGTCACTGAGATCAAGATCTCGTTTGAGAAGAGAGAACAAATATTTAAATCAAGATAGCACTTAACCTATTATTGTGAAAACATAAACCTATATTAACTCTTTATTATGAGCTTATGACCTCATTAATGTCACCATATTACCATCTGTAGTCAAGATATTGCACTCACAACAATCATATTGTTACCAAAATATTTGCGAATTAGTTTCCCCATTATAAACCTTTGTTTTTGGCACCCTTATTACCCAGTTACGTAAATGTCAGTCTAATATTATACAGAAATACTCATTGTTAATGCCAAGCTATTACAGCTATTACAACTACATGGTATTATTTAATTATTACTGCTTTATTATCAAACTACTACCCCACTATTACTATTTTATTACCAAGCTGTAATGTAGTAATGTAATAACAACAAAGGATGTTAATCTCAACAATTAAGATAGCAAGGTGTTGTGGCATAGGGTGAGAAATTAATAAAATGGCACGTGGTAAATGACAATGGCAGCTGCATGGACATAACCCTGTGCAGGTAGTATAGTGCATTGTAAAATGTGTTTTTTAGAATCCAATTAGAATTGTTTGTTTTTATTGAATTGAGTTTTGATCTGTTGTCTAACTAAATTCCTCCAAGTATTTTTTTAATGCTGTATTATATTGATTAGATTTCCACTGAGAGCTTCAGAGCTTTAGATTAATAAGAGAGGCCATTAAAAGCCTAGTTTGTGGTACACGGCAACAACCAGCTGTAAATTGAAAAAACGTGAAAAAAGGTTTAATCACAAAATGTTGTGATCATTGTGTCATAAGCCTAGGAGGCTTTTTCTACTAGTATAACTCTGTGCTTTACAATATGATATTGTTTTTTGTTTAGTTTTTTTTTACCTTAGACTGAAGAAAAACATAGATGTGTTGTAGCAATTTTGTTACAATACCCTTAAGTCTCTAGATGGATTTGGTCTTAACACTTGCAACCATCTTGGCTTTTTTTGAAGCCACATAATACAAATTTGGGCACAGGGGAAGCCATCTAAGATGAACAAGAAGCAGTCAACACAGCTGATGTGATTGGCCAAGGAACCTGTCAATTAGTCCAAAAACATTCCTTAACAGAGCTCTCAAGAAATTAAACAATGAGTCACACAATTTCCAGAGACACACACAAGAAAATGTGAAATTAATTTCCTATTAAGTGTTGTGGAAGAAAAATTATTTGTAAGGGACTTACTTGTTTAGCAGTCATTAACAGAATTACAGCCTATGGTGCATCCATAAGTGTTTTTATAATTATAGCATTACTAGACAGTGGTTAGATAAGTTTGACATAGTCTGTCATCAAAGTCATTTCTTTCAAGAAATGATAGTAATAATTCAATCAATGGGACAGAATAAGATGAGAGTTGTCACGCTGTCACACTGAGCTGGATGCATATATAAAAAGCTGCATAGTGCTGTATAAGTTACTGTTAAGCACTTGCAGAACCTGGATTTTCATCACTTCCTTCTGCAAAGTGAGACAGATACAATCAAAGAGCACTTAAAATACAAAGAAAATTAATTTCCCTCTTAGCTCACCTCCAGAGTGGGTAAATGAATGAACATCCCATCTGTTTTATGCCATGAGTGCAGAAACATCCTCTTAGATATTTGTTTGTGTCCTGTTGAGATGATATCAGGAGTGTTTAAATTGAGTATATCTTTTCATATACATTAGAGAGTAACAAATAGATGAAGGAAATAATAAATATTTCTCTTTTGGTTCTCTCTCTGTAGGTCAGCTGTAAGGTGTTGCAATTTTTCCACATGTACATGCTGGGCTGCAATTATTTCTGGATGCTCTGTGAAGGCATTTACCTGCACACACTCATTGTGGTGGCTGTATTTGCAGAGGAGCAACATCTGCATTGGTACTACCTCCTGGGCTGGGGTGAGTCTGTTTGCACTTAATCAAAACACTATTTGTTGTGTTTCTTCTATTTGTGTGTTTATTCTATAGGGAATCTTTACAGACTAATTTATTTTCATTACCTTATTAGACTCAATCATGGCTCAAAAACTCAATGAAAAGTAATTCAGCAAGCCACAATTTACTCCGATCCACCCAATCCTCCTACAATATGTCAGCCTGGACATACTGACAGCTTTATTGGCCCTCCTGTCGCTTAGTGCTTAGTGCAATCCTGTTTTTCACCAAACAGGAATAATGGGTGCAGTAGGCGATGGAACTAAATGGATAGTCATTGTTAAAACTGGGAGGATAACCTTGAGGCCCATTTTTGCCGCGTGTGTGTGTGTGGATGGAAGGCAGCCAGTAAGTCAGGTCCATCTGTGGCCGATATGCTGCAGGGCCTCAGTGGTGTTCGAAAATGGAGTGTACATGGATTCATATGTTTATAACCAGGCGTAAAGTAGATAAAAACCTGAGCCCAGCCTCTAGTGGTTTCTTTATAGGCATTCATCATGTGGTGTTGTTTTTAATGCTGGGGTAATGAAATTACAATAAGAAAGTTTGCACAAATGAGGATGTCAAAGTTGATCCACTGTGTTTCAGCCTCTCTGAGAATGTATATAATATTAGTGAAGAAATCATTTATTTGATGAGGAAGTCCAAGACCAGCAAAACAACTGACCAAGCTAACCACACTTTTTACTGTTACATAAATGACAAATGAATTTCACCAAATTCACTCAAGACCTCATATGGCCGCTATCCTTTTCCTGTCCAAGGCTTTCCTCTAGTGCCTGCATCCATCCACGCCGTGGCAAGGAAAAAGTATTTCGATGACAAGTGAGTAATGTTCCAGAAACTTCTGCAAATAAACAGGAGATGTTTACATATGTGCTCGTCTGTGTGTGGCAGAGAGTGTGCAGATGCACGTGCATGTTTTTGTATATGTGTGTGCATGTGTATTTTGGGCAGCAGACAGCACTGACTGATATGTTTTTCCCTCTGTAGCTGTTGGATTAGTGTGGAAACCAATCTGCTCTACACAGTCCATGGTCCTATAGTGGCAGCACTTCTTGTAAGTCTTCTAATACACTGTTTTAGCACAATATAAGAGAAATAAATGAATCTCAAAGTGAAAAATCTGTGTATTGGTTTGTTCTTTTGGTAGTAGTTTTAGTTATTAAAAAATAAAAGATAAGAAAAATTTGCTTTTTTTCTCATTTTTTTACTTTCCGCAGGTAAACCTCTTCTTCTTACTTAATATTATAAGAGTGTTGGTCACCAAGTTGAGAGACACACACCGGGCAGAGTCCAACATGTACATGAAAGCAGTGAGAGCCACCCTGATCCTGGTGCCCCTGCTAGGAATACAGTTTGTCATAATCCCCTGGAGGCCAGAGAACCGGCTAGCTGGGGAGGTCTACGAGTACATCATGCACATACTTATGCACTACCAGGTAAGGCACTGAGCAGACACCAAGGCATTGCATTAATCAGAATTCCCATGAAAGTACCCGGTGGGAGCTAAGTTCAAAGATAATCAACTGTGAATTAAAAAGCAAAAATGTGCTGCTTTACTGGCACTGTGGGTTGAGGGATTTTGCACATGTGCTCATTGATGGAATAAAAAATAATCTTTAAGCATTGTAATCAATGTACCTTTACTGAAAGTTATATTTAAACTCTGAACTTGAACCTGCACTTGGGTTCCACCAGCTTGAGATTTAGACATTTGACTTGCTTGAATTTCCACCCAATAAAACCATGTGATGATTTATTTATATGATTCACTGTTGATTTACTCTATAAAGAACCAGTTAGCCACTCCATTAACTTTAGTTAGGTGCTAAATTAAATAACAAGCAAGCAGGCTGTGAAATTTCTAGGTAGGCAGTCAGTTAATTCACTTACCAGATAAGGATTACATTGCTCCAACAGAGCTGCTAGAAAGTAATACATATTGATTTAATTCCATTACTTTTGTTAAATAAAACTTGTTTTGTTTTTTAAGGGATTATTGGTGGCAACAATATTCTGCTTCTTCAATGGAGAGGTAAGCACTGTTCATGTATTTACTCATATTAGCAGTTTGGCTTCCCTACATTGTGCTGCTGCTACACAATATTGTGTAAAGTTAAAGGAAGAGTTTGACCCAGTGCCAGGACACAGTTAGCTTAGCTTAGCCTAAGGAAAACAGCTGGCCTCTTTTTGTCCATAGGTAGAAATTTCTACCACCACCTCTAAAGCTCACTAATTAGCAAGTTATATTTTTTCTTTAATTAGCTGGTAGGCGGATTTTGTTAAAGGACCCATGTGTAAGATTTAGTGGCATCTAGCGGTTAAGTTTCAGATTGCAACTAACTGAACATTGCTGGAGTCTGTATTTGACAACCTGGGAATGAGCTGTGAAGTGTGGGAGAAACTACAGTGGCTGCAAAACACACAAAAACCCCAAATGGCCCTGTCTATAGCCAGTGTTTGGTTTGTCCATTCTGGGCTACTATAGAAAAATTGCGGTTTAATATGGCGGACTCCATGAAAGGGCAACCTGCAGCGTCTGTAGATAAAAACTGCTCATTCTAAAGTAATGAAAACACAACGATCCCTTTATTCAGGTGATATTTTGGATAAAGCCTGGTTAGCTGTTTCCCCCTGTTTCTAGTCTTCACGCTAAACTAAGCTGAGCTAACCATCTCCTGGCTCTAGCTTTATAATAACTAACTCTCAGCAATAAAGTGATTCCCAAAATGTCGAACTATTACTTTAAAAATGTTGTATCCTGTAAAGGTTCCATTTTTGGTGACATGTCAGACAAAATAACGCTGTAGAGTTGAAGGAGCAATTACCCTTTCATAAAGGTCAACCTGCACATGTTACTCTGTAAGATGTTCAGTCATGGAGCAATAAAACCACTCATTGCTTATGACATTAAGTATGAGACATCAGACTCCATCAGGCAAAACATTTTCATATTATGTTTTTCCAGGTTAGATATCTGGCATCTTACATCTGAAGCTGATAGCACATCAAGAAGTGACCCGAACATAGACTCAGTTGGATTTTGCCATTGAATACTTGAGTAAAATAGTTGTTACTTTACAGAGATGCTACATCTGTCATTAGTCCAATTGTAACAGGTTATAAAGCATTGTGCTGCTGTCTCATCTGAGACCAACGTTGTGCTGCGGCTGTAAAAGCTGAAGGGTCACGTCAGGTGAAGAGTAAGACACAGTTTATAAATGACTGTGTGGTTTCCAAGCCCAGCTGGAAATTGACTCTCCTTTCAAGTCGTACCGTCAGCCTTTCTGAGTCTGTCTGCAGCTGTCGGACTGCGAGCATCCTTAACTTGGTTCAAACACTTCTCCAAACGAATGGGCTTGATTTCCATTAAAACCCAGATCTAGGATTAATGGCTCCGCAGACCCATTGTGTGACAGATGCTCTCAAGCTCACATTTGTGCAGTGTGTGCTGTAAGGTATTAGTCATTTTAAGCAGCTCCATGGTGGTGTGAATACCACAGACAGATCAGATTACAGACAACTATTTGTGTTTTAAACAAATATGCTTTTGTAATATTTCCATTTGAATTAACAACAAACAAAACTTGTGCAGTGAAATTCTCTTTTTTGTATGACAAGACAACAGTGTCTGGCACAGAGGAACCAGCCACCTATTGTGGAGGTTTGTGAATTCAGCCTGGAAAATGGGTCAGGTATTAGCTCATACATCAGTTCATTCAGTATCGTCTTATGATGCAAACAATATGGACTATAAACAATGTGTAGAACATATGCAAATATAAAGGACAACCCCAGTTTATGGGTGATATAGGGTCAACTCACACACACAAACTATCACAAAGGAAGCAGTGGCGGAACTAGACTTTTATACAAGGGGTGGCCAGAGGGTGGTCAAGGCTTTATGAGGGGGGCCATATACTAGGCCTAATAAAGGAAAATCCTGAGATACCGCCAGTCGGATTCGAATCCGAAACAAACACCCTTGGGAAAAGTCGGTGTCTTGGCAAAACAAAGAGAAGGCTACACATCACAGACACTAGACGCAAGACTCAGCTCAAGGATCAAATAAAGACGCCATTGGTATGAGAATTAATGAACGACTTGCCTGGCTAGTTTCATGTTGGGAGCTGCCCGGGCTGCTGATATCTGGGCTGGGGTTTGTCTGTGCCTGATATGTTTTTTTTAGCAAAAAAGTTGGAAACATCTCCCTTCCTTTCCATTATTATCTGTTTATTTTGCCTTCTCTGTTTGCGTTTAAAAATCTCACTGTGACATGCAGTGACCTGTCAGTCAACTGGGGTGGCATCCAGGGTGTCCAATCAGGTTCCAGGGGTGGCGAGTGCTACCCCGGCCACCCCTCTAGCTCCGCCCCTGAAAGGAAGGAGGGGGGTTTGTTTGCCTCACCCACATAATGACCGATTCTGCTCCCTTAATCAGGACACGGGTTTCTGGGGCTGGTTTCAATTCTGTTTTTTGATTTCAAGGCCAAACTGCACAGACCTGCCTTGTTTCTTCAATGGCCCCATTGTGAAGTTAGGTCACTGAGACAAACAGCTTTCATGCTGTATTTGTGACATCAAGCAAGACGTTCTACATGGAAGCTGTAATCCCCGGCTGCTCTTTTGTCTCATTATAACAATTAGTGTCATAATTTAAATAATTAGATCATTGTGGGTTAATATGCCCACTGTAATAATGGTATTATTAGGGTGTTACAGAATAAAATGATTAACATTGCACAGCTTGTAGCTCCTGTTTCTGTTTTTAGGAAACTCAGTTCACAGTCAACCAACTGTGTGTGATTTTAGTATATTTGGGGTTGGATGTTGGTTGGACAAAAGAAGCTATTTCAAGGTGTGACCTTAGGCTCTACATAATGATTTTTCAACATTTAATTACATTTTATAGACAAAACAAATAGCAAACTAACCCTAAAGCATTACATCCATCCAAAAACAACATGCTAGATACTAGGCAGGGCCAGATTTAACGCTATGGGCCCTAACTAAGAACCTCGGCCCCCCCTCCCACCCTTTTCCACCACCAACACACACACATACACTTTCCCCCCAACCGTTTTTTCCCAGAAACTGATATTTCTGCACTAGAATACTACCCTGTCCCAGGTTTGCTGTGTGTGTTTTATTAAAAATGAATTTGTCACAGAAACACATGAAACAGGAACACACGATTTGGTAAAAATGTGGAAGTCACCTTACAGCCTTTACAATTTCAGTTTTTAAATGTGCTTTAATGGTGCATATTACCAAACAGAATAATTGCAACACAGCTGCAGGTGAAGAACATGTCACTGCTAAAAAGATGCTGGATATTACTCATTTCCATCTGAAATGTTTTACTGTTCAGATTGATTTGAGAATAGAAGGCGGAAGTGTAATACATTTAAATGTGGTAATACTGTTTATTTTAACATTTGGCTATGAATAGTGCATCCTGAAGTGACATTTCTTTTGTTGTTAAATGCTCAGCAGGCAGCCGTGAGAATTTCCATTCCTTTTGTTCAGCTTTATTGTTAATGTGGTTGAACTGAGGGAGGGAGTGTAAAATTTGGAACATTGAGTCCTCTAGGCATTTAGGCCTCTGGATAGTAAAAAGTGTTTGTTGTTGTCATTCTGAAGTTTAATAAACTTCTGAAAAGGTAACCATTTTACAGTAAAATTGTAAGTGTGAGCGTTTTGCAGTTTGTCCCACTTGTAAGACATTTCTGATTTAGAAGTTTGAAGTTGGGAGTTTTATTTAATAGCTGATTAGAACATCATAACCACTGATCATATTGAGGAATAAATAGAGGGATTATGAAGGGTGACGTACACTAAAGCTTTGTAAATGTACTCACAAAGAATGTGTGATCACATTCCTCAAACTAGAGACTGCAGTTACACCCTATGAGCACTTGTTGAGTGCTTGTCGAGAGGGGAGAAGTTATATCTAATTACATGATGACGTCTTTCTTCCATTTAATAATGTGATGATCTGGCCACATGCACAATTTGGCTGCATTTCAAGAAATGTGACTTTGGTGTTTACATTTCCTAACTAGCATCTGTTAATGGGATTGAAATTTGAGTGATCCACATATGCTGCAGCAATTACGCTTGCATTAAATCATTACAATGTTTAAGATTCGGACCATAATAATGAACCATCTCTCTAACCCGACCTGTTTGTGTGTCATCCAGGTGCAGGCAGCTCTAAAGAGACAGTGGATGCAGTACAAAACCCAGTGGGGTCAGAGACGAAAGGACCACTGTTCAATGCGCTCCACGTCCTACACAGCAACCTCCATCACCGAGGTGCCCGCCTTCATGTACCACCATGACTGTAACAGCGAACATTTGAACGGGCGCCACACGGAGGACTCTGAACTGGTGGCACTGAAATCAGGAGAAACGTACGCTTGAGCCACAGAGTCACAACGGAGGTAGAGAGTGTAGCGGTGGGAACAGCTGAAGAAGAGCAACAGAGCAATGGAGATGTACAGTAAGAAATGAAAATGATTCCAGTTTGCCCGCCATTTCTCAGTGATTAAATATCAGCCCAGGACGACAATACTGGTCAGGAAATAAAGAGCTCATTGGGACGGAGACGGACTAGCTGACATTTTACTTTACATTGCTGTTGCGGCTGCTTTTAGATTGATGTCAAGAACTTGTGGCATGAGACAAGAGCTGCTTTTTGACATGTGCCACTTCCTAAAGCTGCTAAACTGTGAGTGTGCTCACAGCGATGGAGACAGTGTGGAGACAAAAATAACTGTGACTGTGATGACAGTGAGGGTGCCGATGTTTCCTGTTTTGAAATGATGCTGCTGAATGTGACAGTGATGGTAATATGGGTTCTGATCGACATGAGGCAGAGGTCAATAATGATTTTGATGGTGTCATGATGATGATGATTCTTAAGGTGAAGTAGAAGAACCACTCCTTCCTAACCTCACCTATACCAAAGGGTACTGTATGTTGGTCACAGCTATGAAGGGGTGTCCAAACCGACACACACACACACACACACACACGCCATCAAACTTCACAAACCTGATCGTATGTGCCATGATAGAGGTCGAATTTCAACAGAACCTCTGTGCTTGAAGCTCTGGAATTGTGTACATAATGTTTAATTTGGAAAAAAAAATGATGTTCAGATGTTTTAAAAGGATTTTATTTTTGTTTTCTATTAATATTTTATTCTTGCCAATTCCTAAGTACGTGCTAAGTGTGTCCTGTGATGCTGCACTCCTGACTGCTTTGTTGTTTTGCAGTTGCTGTATTTGTGCTGATGCCGAACATCACAGGGCTGAGAAGCAAAAAGAAGAAGCTAAATGCACAAATGAATATATGAATAAAAAACTTTATTTTAAGGTTATTTAACAGCCACAAGAGTTGTTTCACTGTGTATGATTCAAATATGCTATCAGTTGTGCCAATGATTCTGACAAACGAGCAGCTTCTGTGTTGAAGCTGCACTGTCTGATTTTATTCACAATTATACTTTATCATGCTCATGATGCCTTTAATCTATGATATTCTGTCCTCCATACATATTTATTCATGAATTTTGTAGCATTTTTTTTATGAATGAACATCCAGGGCAAAGCAAAGTCTCGCTAAAGATGAAATGATGAGAATCCATACTGTCTGCACATTAAAATCTTAAAGCCTTGATCACAATCTTGCACAGACAAAGAATAATCTACTCTTTATCTTAAATGTATTCATATTACTCTTCATTTTATTGTTGCTTTGTCATAACTGTGCCATATGATTGTGTAGGATGAAAGTTAAGAGTATTGATGGCCATAGTGCATTTAATTATGAGTACCATCAAAAAGACCACCCCGAATTTTGCTTTGTGTCCGTATCCAAAATTTTAAAAATCTGGTTTGTTAAAACTTGGATAAATTGTGAAAGTTACTTAGAAGGCTAATACGCTTCTAAATTGCATTTCTGATAACAGACATTTAAATTCAGCTAGGGAAAAACATTAATTATTCTAGAGCCAGTGGCCAATAAAGCCTCTAGGTGGCTCAGACTGCTGTGATATGTTTGTTGACCCCTTTACAGAAAATTACCACTCTCTGTTTACATAACAGAGAAAAAGTTCAGAGAACCAAAATGTTTGTAAAAGACACAAAGAAGGAGCATCTTTAAGGATAAGTCTGGGGATATATATTATTTATTTATTGGTAACAATTCTCATGAAAAGACTAAACCAACAATGCATTAGACCATCTCTCAATACTGTTCTACACTGTCTGTGGCACTCAGCTAAAAGCCCATCATTTCCTACAGTAATGAAGATGTCTTGAAGAGCCTTTAAAAATGAGTAAAACTATATATAGTTTAAATTTTTCAAATATGACTTTTTTAAAACAGCGGAGCACTGCAGTTTTTGGGAAATGTTAACTAAGTAGTGTTGTTGGGGACTGTTTTTAGCCATGCATTAATACATGTTTGATGCTCCAGTGAGTACAAGCAGCATGGATGGGGTATGTGGGATTTACTCAAAACCAACTACAGTCCCAGTGTTCATGGTAATGAAGGTAAACCGGTGCAGCAGTGTGACTCACTGGTGTGGTTTTAATAGTTTTATGGAGAACAATGGATCACAGAGGGATAAAGTATATCCTTGACACACAGAAACAATATCATAGCAATTCGTTGTCGGTTTATAAAGACAAAAATCTTTTTCTGTCTACATGGGTGCCACTGTGTTCATGTATCTGTTGGATTTTATGTCACCATATATTTGATAGAATAATTTTTAGGTTTTCTTGTCAACTGGAATAACTCTTACCAAGATTTGTGTGAGACATATGAGATATTTGTGGGTACAGTTTGAAATGTATATTTCCATGGACCTATAGTGAAGCAAAGACAAGATTTGCACATTTAGGCACACAGAATAAGGCTAGTTGATCTTTATAGTATGTTGGAAAAAACAAGTTTGCTTTGGGATATTTGGCTTATTAATTAACATTAATATAAAATCCAAGATAAATGATTAAGAAAATCAAAGATAAATTGTTAACGTGATTTCTGCAACAGCAATATAACCAGATAAATAGGACCCTACCAAAAGGTCGCCTTCGTGGAGGTTTATCTGGGAGGAGATTTAAACACTCACCACTGTGAGCTAATAACATTAAATTGGTCTAATTGCCAAATTAAATAATATCAATCAAGTAATCAAAGTCAAGGATGCAGCTCTTCAGTAGCTGTAAAGGTGCAGTTTAGCTAACATTCCTTTCCATTCTTGAATAAAACTGACATTTGGACCTGTTGCAATATTTCAATGCCTTTTGTTGCTCATCGGGTATAAGGAAGGAAGGAAAGAAGGGAGAGTGACAATCACTATGAGAGAAAGACATCATGATGACAGAGCAGGTTTTATGCTACACATGTTCTTGTGTGTAATTTTAAAGTATGTTATTTATTTGAGTATATAATTCATCTTCCTCTTCGTCTTTATAACGGTGATTTGTCTTGGATGGTGCACACTGTAAGACATAGTATTAATCTTTTGGGTTTGGGGAAGACAGATTCTGTATATTTTGTATGTCCATGCCCATGTAAATACGAGCTGACACTGTGTACATTATAGATTTTTGCACTGTGAAATACTCTGACAGCTATTTTTGTTACGTTCCTGTCATTCATTTTGGCTTGTGTTTGTCTCTTTTTCCCCCTCGGCTCAGACTGGCATCATCTCAAAGCTGATAAAGAAAAAATTGCATTTTATAAAAGCCAAAACTGATTGTTGTTTTTTTTTTAAAAACCTATTTAGCACAAGAATACAGACATAAAAGATTCTTTGGTGTTCTTTATTTCCTGAGCAAGTAGCAATCAGAGAAACAAGCTGCAACACGTTGTTTTGGAGTCAAAAAGTTCTTTTTTCAAATGATTTAATGAGATTATGGACTCCAAAGGGAAAAGGGAAATTTGCTCTTTTTCCAACCACACCTGTACAAACTTAGTTTCAAGCATTTCTGCAACATTCTCTGATGATTCGCAGGCATTTTCCTCGTCAACACAAGTCTTGTCAATGTTTTAGGGTTGAGAGATTTTGTATAATGAGTGAGCATGGAAAACAAAGGAAGTCTTACTACATTTGGTGTCTTTGTGATCCTTCGGGCTTGGCAGTGTCATACAGCCCCTTTTTTATGCCAAAGGTTCAGCTCAAATCACATACCAGCACCTGATGTGTGGAGCAGTAAAGAATCGACTGACACAACTCGTCTCCAAGATGGACGGCGGCTCACGCACTACTACAAATTAAGGTTGTTATCGCGCTAACAAGGCTGAGTGCTCCTCTTTATGTTAATATTTTGCAGCCTTTCTATAGGCAGATACTGTATAATATGCAATTTCAGGCTCTGCTGAATCCTAATGGTACAGCCAAGAGAAGAAGACGTACTGTCACCCTGCATATGATGATGAAGTAAGACGTGTATAGAGCCGTCTCGTTATTCTTCTGATGAATATTTTCCCCTGCCAACATAATACCAAATTCATCAAAAGGAATCTTTAAACGAAAATATGTCAATGCAAAGTCTGAAACTGTATCCAAACTGCATTGCATATAAAGGTAGAGATGGAGGAGTTATGCAATAATGAAGACACAATGAGGGGGAAATCATCATAATTGTCATAGCCCCCCTTGTTTCTTCAGTAGATTTAATGGAACAATAAAGCAGAAAGTTAGAGGAAGAAGCCGTAAATTACTTCAAACAGCTTCCATCTTGGGAGCATGTTGGCCTGGGAAACTTCAGGAAAATGTCAGCGGCTGGCTATTTCAGGCATCTGTGAATGTTCCCTGACAGCGACAATCTCACAGTACACCGGACAAATCCAGAAATGTGTCACGTGTGCCCAGAAATCGGCTGTGAAAGTGATCCTTTGTGTGGGTTTTACTCAGCAGTGTTAAAACACTAGAGATGACAAGTGTTTCATGTCTAAATCTTCATCTGTGGGTTAAAAATACTTCAAGGTCACTTGAAGCCTTCATATCTCCAGCTAGTGACCGTGACTGCTCAGATCACAGTCGGACATGGACGGTCACGTTTCCATCCCTTCCCACTTCTACGCTGGTCGCATTCATGTCCTTTCATTCTAACTCAAGTGTACTGACTGTGCACTGAACCACTCTTTCACCCAAGGCTTGGAGTATTTTCAACTGTCGTGGCCAGAAATTCATTACAACTGAGCCTCACTGCTGTAGGCACGAGGACAATGGAAAAAGGGAGAAAGGGTGTGGGGTTTTTTTGTCTTGGTTTGGTAACACACAAAGACTCCCTCTCGGCCCCATTTCATTCATCCAGGTGTGACAGCATATCATCTGGTTTTCTACTTGGCTACAGTGCACCGCAGCTCTCACCCCGAACCATCTCACAGTCACGGTTCATGAGCAAACATGCCTGGAGCACTGAGAGACCAAAGATTGCCATTTGGCCACAGATTCTCTTGTTTAATGAGCAGGCCATATTTACAGAGGAATTTATAAATAACTGGCTTAATAGAGGTGCACAAATTACTTAAGCCATTCTCAATTAAAAATGTGTGCACATTTACGAAGATAAAGTTAAAGTATATTGTTGACATTTTAACATGCACAAGGGATTGTTGAAAAAAAATCTGATGTGTCACAAATGTCATTAACCTAACAATAATTAATAATAATGCTTCATATTAATGCTAATAATTCTTCATATTAACATGAAGGTATTAAGTCAGTATTTGTATAAAATACTTAACATAATCTCTAGCTTTGCTAGTAAAACAAGACAGAGAGTGTACAGCCATGCTAGCAGCTCTGTGGGCAGTACTTCATTCTAATATCAGCATGCTGACATTGGTTTAATGACAATGCAAACATGCTGATGTCCACCCGGAAGCCTAATGTTTGCAGTGTTGACTAGCATAGCTGTGTCTTGAATTTGACACTTTTTTCTGACATTCTTTTAAAATTTCACTTTAACTACCAATATAAATGATTATTATTATTTTTACTTTAATTTTACACCATTAAATTAATTTAAAACATTACATAAACATGTAGAGACAGTACATGTTTATTTACATACAATAAAAAGACAGGATGGATGTCTCAGATTCAAGACATCTTAGTTTAATGTGTTAGCATGCTAACACTTTTCAATTTCATCAATTTCATAGCAATCCATCCAATAGTTGTCAGAACTTGTGAGCCCCTGACACTATAGGAAAAGTCAGGCAGGATTCATCCTCTGGGGATCATGAATGTCTACAAAATGTTATGGCAATCTATCCAATAGTTGTTGAGATATTTCACTCTGGACAGAAAAAGAGGTCAGCCAACATTTGCAAATATCAGCTATATCTGTGTTAATGTAAGCTGTCCCAGAGTTGAACATAAAATGTTTTATGGGTTTCTTTCACACATTGCCCGTGCCTGTTTCTGTGTTTGTTTGGTGTCTAACAAAGGACGAAATGTGTTAGAAGACCTGGATCAAACTGTGTGTGTGTGTGGGCATGTGCAACAAAGTTTCATGCTGCGTATGAGTGTGAGGATTCACACGCCTGCATATGCCTGTATGTGTGTGCCATCTATAGTATTTTGAGCATAATATGAGAGAAAGGAAGCCATACTGTGTGCAGTACCGCTGCCTCAAAGAAAATAAATCAAACCCCCAAAATCTCTTCTTACTCAGGGACTAATCTGCAGCATCGGCTCTATGCTCTGCTCATGAAAGATAGGACTTTTCAGTCGTGATGGGATTTAACAGTAGTGGCTGCATTCAGGCATTCAAAATTGCAGCACTTCTGCAGAGGGGTGGACCACTGCATGAAAGGGAGGAAAAATATATAGGAGAAACTTTTCATTCAAATGTTGCAAGAGGGAAAATCAGTTTTTACACTCATTAGTTCATGATTGGCACAATATCCCCAGAAGTATTAACTGACTAATTTCAGAGACGATCATGTCATCTGTTTTCAACATGATACGCTCACAGCACTATTCCACATTTTAGAGGCCAAGTCAATTTATTCACAAAGCCCAGAACAATCACGATTTTTTATTGGATTTTTAAATTGCACTTGATGATGTTTGCCTCTTCAGGAAATTTGCATCCCCCAGAAGTATATGGAGAGAGGAGTAGAGATTACCTAATAATATAACTCCTCCTACAGGATTACAATGCAAAACTCATAAATTATAATCTTAAATGAGCTTTGTGTTCTCGACCCCTTTGATGTATTATTGGAAGACAATGCTCGCTGCGTGATAATTATCTAGGCCCTCTTGATTTAAACCCCTTTGATATAAATGACAAAGCAATGCCCTAAAGCAGATCACTGATCCACTTGTGTGACGATATTTACTGCCACATTCATCTTAGTATCTTATTTTGTTGAGAAGCGGGAGGACGAGAGACCTGAGGCATTTGTGGAAGCCATAATTTGTAGAGTTGCAGAAATGAGAGAGAGCGGGAGCGAGAAGCAGCATTTGCAAAAAGTATATTTTTCCATCCTTCCAGCGATGAGAGCAGCACTTCATATGTGTGCGCTGAAGGCTGCTGTACATTGTACCACACCACTCATAGTGCAGCTAGCTCTTGACCTCACTAAACTGAGTCATGCTATCTCAAAGCAAACCCTGAAATAAACCAGATATCTGTTCAGTCACAGCAGAAATCCCAACACAACCTGATGGTGTGGAGTAGATATAGATATAGTCTCCTGAGTATAAAGAACAAAAAAAAAAAGACATCTTGTTTGTCCTAAAAGCAGAGGTGAGCCTTTCAGTCTACCCAGGGCTTAGAGTACATCGTAGGAGATAACAGTCTCAGTCATGTCTTACTAATAGCACTTGTTCCCTCATTATACACTAATGGGGTTTGTGAGGCAAATTATTAATTATGAGGACCCTTGATAGAGTACATGCTGTGGTGCTGGAGAGGCTTTCCATGAAACAACAATTTATTTCCGGGCTTCCTTCATTTGATTCAAATCTTGTTTGAATCCTTTGCTGTGTTTTTTTTCTTTTCTTTTTGTTTCTGCTACTGTTCTGTGTAATTATTCACAGTTTCAAAATAATTGCACAAACAATGCAATTTTCTAAATCCTAGGGAGTCAGTACACTTTTACTTGTTTGTCTGCTTGTATATTGGCAGCGTGCTGAACAAATTAACAAATTTGCTCCTTGCTGACATTGCTTAAACTCTGATTCATCCGCATATTTTTCTCTATCCTCAAAAGGTCTTAAAAGGTATTACTCAGTGATGTGGAATGCTTGTTCAGTATAAACATTTGGTGTACATTTACACAAACCAGAAACACAGCATTTATTTTTTTAAGATTTAGTTTTAAAGGAGGAGTGTAGGAGAGACTTTTTCAAGGATTGAAAACTATTTAATATAAAATCAAACTGAAGGACATTGTTATTTTTAATCACACCTCCTGTTGAGCGTATCCAAAAAGGGCATTTGCCTCTTAGACCTTGTTGTCAACCAAATTCCATCACAATATGGCTGATTTAAGCACATTATATAAAAGGGTGTAACATTTAGTTAGACTGAGTAAATGTGCTGGAAAAAGTTCACCAAGCTGTTGGTTCAGTCAGTCTACAAAAATCTCTGATCCCAAGTGGTTGAAACGCAAGCATCCATTACCTCTGAGCCACAGATTTCAACATCTACTGTGCAGAAGAATACCGATATGCACCAGTGTCGTAATTCTTTGACACACAGAGCTTACAGTGACACGACCGAAAAACCAGAGCGCTTAAAGTTAAAGACCACGGAGCCTCGTTAAACGCAGGGTTAGCAGCCAG